ACTTTGCAAAGTTGCTGTTTTAATCCAAGAACACAGTCGCAGTTTTTTTTTCCTATTATGCACTGCGTGCTGCAGGATTTGTTTTGCAGATGAATGGTTCAGAGAACCGACGAGTTGATAAATTAGACACGTGCAACATTTGTCAGTTCTCTGAACCATTCATCTACATTCCTGTCTGACACAGCAACATTTTGGGATCTTAATACAAGGAATTCTTCACTTCCCTAACTCTTGGGCATGACCTACTACCACATCGGACAAATGTGATACCACCTACGGCTGCTGCACCTCTCCTGCCTACAGTATATAAGCTACTTCTTTGCACATATGCTGTATTCTTTTCAAGATTGATGGACTGATCACATCGACTCAAGGTTGAGGGTCTGATTACCTCAAACTCCTTCTGTTTTTCACCATTCTCCTTTGTATGGACTGATGAAGCCACTGTGTGGTGAAACGTTTCCTCATTAAAGATACCCAAATGTTGCACATGTGTCTAATTTATCAGGATTTGTTTTATATGGTGCACACTTACCACGTAGATGAATTCTCTCATATCTATGCCCAAATTTACCGCTCATGGCTTATCTGAGTGAGCTGAGCTCATGGTGTAAAATTATGGCTTGGACCCAGGCCTCAAAGCCGTAGAACTACTGGATGGACCCTCAAAGGGCTAATTAGTGATAAATTCAGTTACCGACCTACTCTTAGGAATGGAACTCAGTCGTTAAGTGAGGAGAGGCTGTATACAGGAAGGCCCCGCTTTACAGCACTTTGCTTTACATCATTTTGCTAATGCAGTGGTTTTCAGTTACAGCAGGGCCCCACTTATATGGCAGATTAGGTTCCAGGCTACCGCTGGAAAGCAGAATGTCATTTTTTCCACTTACAAATGCGTATAAATGCCAGATAATAAGTTTACACTAAAATATATTAAGTTAACAATAGAACAAGGCATTAAAAACAATAAAAAGTAAAATACACACACAGTACACTTCATTACTTACCTCAAAATATTTGTAGTCTTAATGTTGGGTGAGGTGAGTAGTGTTTATTGTAAGAAGTCAGGTGTGATAGGTATGGTAGCCAGCCAGGCCACCCCACCCACACGTAATATACTACGACTTTTAAAGCGCCCTAGAGCGATAAAATGCATATACGGTACACTCATTACTTACCTTAAAATATTGTAGTCTTAATGTAGGATGAGAGGTGAGTAAATGAGATAAAAACGAATAAACGAGAGAGAGAGAGAGAGAGAGAACGAGAACGAGTAAATGAGAGAGAACACAGCCACGGAGTATGTAAACAAACAGATGAACACGGTTTGTAGGTTGATACATGTTCATTTCCATATTTGTAAAGCTTATATCATAATACAAACACCTTACATTGTGTACAAGGTGTCTTCACAATGGTACGGTAGGGTAGAATAAATAAAGAGCAAAACTCCTATTCTCATGTAACACACCATTTTTGGAAGGAATGGCGCTCTGAGTGAAGGCATACGAAAGGAATAATTTTCTACAGTTATCCCCAGTAATACTATTGTGTACACATTTTCTTTGGTGTTGGACTAGAGAAAACGTTTTTCTTTCTGACACACCGACAAGGTGACTGGAAAAACATCTCATATTTATGTTAATTTATTCAATTGTGGGTGTATTTATCATGTTTATATATTATGTAGCATGTTTATTATATAATTTTGAAAAAAAAAAAATATAAGAACATAAGAAAGGAGGAACATTGCAGCAGGCCTTTTGGCTGATACTATGCAGGTCCTTTACAATCATAGATATCATAGATGGATTAAGCAAAATGTCTATACAGGTCGGCCATCACTAATCCGGCATCAATGGAACCTGCAGTGTGCCAGGTTAGTGAGTTTGCCGGATTACAGAGTGGTTAGGTTAGAATACACTTATTAACCTATCACTACCTGGAGATTACCTGGAGAGAGTTCCGGGGGTCAACGCCCCCGCGGCCTGGTCTGTGACCAGGCCTCCTTAGGTCAGTGTCCCAGGATGCGACCCACACCAGTCGACTAACACCCAAGTACCCATTTTACTGATGGGGAACATAGACAACAGGTGGAAAGAAACACGTCCAATGTTTCTACTCTGGCTGGGAATCGAACCCAGGCCCTCACCGTGTGAAGCGAGAGCGTTAACCACCAGGCCACTAGAGAGACTTTCTGCTACATCTTCCTCATTTTCACTCCACTGGCTTGCTGCTGTGGATTTACAACCATCTGCACAATTTCTGAATCAGTGTAATGATGAAATTTGAAATTATGTTAGCTGAAATTAATTCCGGATTACTGATGGAACTGGATAACTGATTGCTGGATTAGTGATGGCCTACCTGTATAAACATTTTATACGACATTTAATGCACCTTAGAGTGATTATTATTTTTTATTTTTTATTATTATCACACCGGCCGATTCCCACCAAGGCAGGGTGGCCCGAAAAAGAAAAACTTTCACCATCATTCACTCCATCACTGTCTTGCCAGAAGGGTGCTTTACACTACAGTTTTTAAACTGCAACATTAACACCCCTCCTTCAGAGTGCAGGCACTGTACTTCCCATCTCCAGGACTCAAGTCCGGCCTGCCGGTTTCCCTGAATCCCTTCATAAATGTTACTTTGCTCACACTCCAACAGCACGTCAAGTATTAAAAACCATTTGTCTCCATTCACTTCCTATCAAACACGCTCACGCATGCCTGCTGGAAGTCCAAGCCCCTCGCCCCACAAAACCTCCTTTACCCCCTCCCTCCAACCCTTCCTGGGCCGAACCCCTACCCCGCCTTTCCTTCCACTACAGACTGATACACCTTGAAGTCATTCTGTTTCGCTCATTTCTCTTACATGTCCGAACCACCTCAACAACCTTCCTCAGCCCTCTGGACAACAGTTTTGGTAATCCCGCACCTCCTCCTAACTTCCAAACTACGAATTCTCTGCATTATATTCACACCACACACTGCCCTCAGACATGACATCTCCACTGCCTCCAGCCTTCTCCTCGCTGCAACATTCATCACCCACGCTTCACACCCATATAAGAGCGTTGGTAAAACTATACTCTCATACATTCCCCTCTTTGCCTCCAAGGACAAAGTTCTTTGTTTCCACAGACTCCTAAGTGCTCCTAAGTGTTATTTTTATTATTATTGATACGGTGTTTTCAAGACTAATAAGACACTCTTAGTGATTTTAACATGTACCTGCATGCCAACACAGTAAGTGTATTTAGGTACAGGTACACTTAAGTATAATTATCAGAGTATATACAGGTCTCCCTCAACATTTGTGTTTTCCACTTTTGCGGGCTTCGAACATTCACGAATTTCCAGCCGCCAAATCATATTTATGTTGAGGGCTTTGAAGGTGATGAATGACATTGATTGAGGTGTAATTCCCTACAAAACTCTGTTTGTAGATATGAAGAAATGGTTTCAGTTGCCCATCACAATGTTCTTCACCTGGAAGCCTGCCACTACAGTCTCCATCCCTTTACCCAAGGTCCTATCGAAGCTAAAACCTTGGGTAGTTTAATATTTAGGTTGGATAAATACATGAGGAAGAGGGGTTGGTGTTGAATGGGACTTGCACGTGAGGAAATAGAATTATCAAAGCTTATTGCTTGGGTAGTGTTTATTCTGTTAGTGGGTTTTATTTGTGAAGGAACTGCCAAGTATAGGCCAACAGGCCTACTGCAGTGTTCCTCCTTTCTTATGTTTTTATGCTGATGAGTAGAACAGTCTGAAGATTGAGACACTTATGCAACATATGGGAATCTTTATTGAAGAAACGTTTTGCCACACAGTGGCTTCATCAGTCCAATACAAAGGAGAAAGGTGTAAGGAGAGGAGGAGTTTGAGGTAATCAGTCCCTCAGCCATATGTTGCATAAGTGTCTCAATCTTCAACTTGTCGATTTTTTAAACCATTTATCACACCTGTCAGGCACTGCAGCATCATGGGTTTGTATTGGACTGATGAAGCCACTGTGTGGCAAAACGTTTCCTCAATAAAGATTCCATATGTTGCATAAGTGTCTCAGTCTTCAACTTGTTGGTTTTTTAAATCATTTATCACACAGATTACAGAGGTACATAATGGGTATAGGGACTGGGCTGCAAAGTATAAGCAGGGCCCTCCTGTACTCAGTATCTAATTTCTTAAGTAAACCATTAGTGTCTGAAGCTCATTACAACGTTAAGGTCATTGTAGATCATTTGAATTATTCTCCTCTCATTAAATGTACAGTTTATCTCTGACATATGACTTCTTGACTTACAACCCCCCAACTAACCCCCTGCTTTTATAAAGACCATTTATAACCTTGTTCCTGTAGGAAGTAAGGGTTCGACTTACAATGGCTTGACTGATGACAGCTTCCCCAGAATCAGTTAAATCTGCAAAACTGGTGGCTCTGGCAGTAATAATAAACTTGTAAAACAGGTGGTTGTAGCAGTAGTGATAACCCATAAAACAGGTGGTTCTGGTAGTATTGATAAACCAGTTAAACAGGTGGTTCTGGCAGTAGTGATAAAACCCTCTAGCAGTAGTAATGATAAACCTGCAAAACAGGTAGCTATGGTAGTAGTAGTGATAAGCCCATAGAACAGGTAGCTCTAGTAGTAGTAGTAGTAGTAGTGATAAACCCATAAAACAGGTAGCTCTGGTGGTAGTAGTGATAAACCCATAAAACAGGGAAAAGGAAGCAAAACTGAAAGAAAAATTTGCAAGATGGTATTTACTGTGGCCTAGAGAGGTCAGTGGAAGTGCAAAATTCTTGTGGTTTTGTTCTTAGTGGGTCATGAGAGCCTTGCCACACTGGTGTATCTGATAGTCTTTGGCAAGTTTCTCATTATTACTTTCAACATTTGCCCTTATTGAATACCTAATGTATAAATACTTAGGCAATTGTACAATATCACTGTCACTGAGAGCTTTATAATTAATTCATTACCTTTTTCTTTCAGGAGTGTCAATCACTAGAAACAAATTTGGGTTTGTGCAATTTGCAGACGAAGAAACTGCTACAGCTTGCCTTAATGCTGGCAACTTAGCTTATATTAAGGGACACAGAGTAGGTAAGACCATGCAAAATACAGTATGCAAGGTAATAAAGTTCAAGGGGGCTCCTTGATGCTAGTGATACAAGAAATTTGACCTTTTTTTCACTTCATTGGGTTTGGTTCAATAAGAGTTCAGACAGCTAGCTAGGGTTTCTCCTAGAATTTTTGTAAATAATAGTTTGGCTTTATGCATGTTAACCATTTCACATTTTATTTTTATACCCAGTACAGTATTGATGTTGAAATGTAGACATGCTTTTATAGTACAATACCTGGTTTTGGTTTGTACAGTTATTTTTTCTGGAACTTATCATTTTGGTTCATTTGGTAGCTTTGAGATTGAGCAGACATTAATTGCCTTTAGATTATCAACTGCATTCATTTACTAAAAAAATGGGTATAAATAGAGAATTTCACAAGTACCTCATGTTCCAGAATATTTAAAGGTATCAGTATGGCCCTTATGTTGGTCACCTGTACCAAAACAAACTTTGTGATCCTCAGAAATGAAATTTTAACTTTACAGTACATTACTGTACTGGATTGTCATAACTCTAAGGAAGGAAGGAATTTTATAGCAAAGGTTAAGAGCTTTTAGCTGGGCAATGATTTCCTCATTGTTTTTACTTAAAGACCTAAATATTGTTGTTAAAAATGGTTATACTCTTATTGTCTGTGACATTATTGGTAAAGTTATTGCTGAGTTAATTATAGATTGGCATGGATACTTCTAAATTATGTTCATGATTAGTAATGTATCTCAACTCTTGCATAATACTGTGAAGTAAAATATACATTATTAGTATTACATTTTAACTATATCTACCCAATTGATGATGCAAAGCCAGATATTTGTCCATATCTCACGGACACAATTTTGTTGATTTTTACAGATGTAAAACCTGCCAAATTTGGGGCTACAGTGGGTATGGGTCCTGTTCCGGGTTCAAGACGACGGCATAATAACAGCAGAGAAAAATCCCCTCTTCATGGACGATTAGAAGACGACTATTATAATGATTACTATGCGTAGGTTTTTGTTTATGTTCAGATTACCAGAGCTGTGCTTGAGATGTTCAGTCTTAATATTTTGTTTGCAGTAAAACTAGCTTGAGCATAAGTGATGGTACAAATGTTTGCTTCTTTAAGTCATCCTTCACTGTTTGACAAATGACTTTCAGTTTTTTTTTTAGTAATTGTAGCATGTAGTATCTCTTGCATCCATTCCAGCTGGTTACTACTACTACTTTCTTTCAACACACCAGCCGTGTCCCACAGAGGCAGGGTGGCCCAAAAGGAAAAACGAAAGTTTCTCCTTTTACATTTAGTAATATAAACAGGAGAAGGGGTTACTAGCCCCTTGCTCCCGGCATTTTAGTTGCCTCTTAAACACGCATGGCTTACGGAGGAAGAATTCTGTTCCACTTCCCCATGGAGGTAAGAGGAAATAAACAAGAACAAGAACTAGAAAGAAAATAGAAAACCCAGAGGGGTGTGTATATATATGCTTGTACATGTACAGTAACGCCCCGCTTTACGACATTTCGCTTTACGGTGTTCCGCTAATACGGTCATTTCAAAATTTTACCAAAACTCGCTGTACGGCTCCCCCACCTGACTTTCTAATACGGTCACCGCGCCCCACCCGGTTTGTTTACATTCTCTGTGAGATCCGTAAGCACTAAGTCTCTCCACTATGTCTGGAAACTCCAAAATTTCAAGTGTTGTTAAAAGTTATTTTATATATACTTTGATAATTATACTTATGTATACCTGTACCTAAATAAACTTACATACTGTTCTGGCATGTAGGTACACATTAAAATCAGTAAATGTCTCGTATGTCTCGAGACGTCATATTAATGATAATAATAATCACCTAGTCTCATTTAAATGTCGTATATTACGTTAATATACACATTTTCATTAATCCATCTGTGATATTTTTTCAAATTATATAATAAACACGATGCATAACATATAAAGATGATAAATACACCCCACAGTAGAATAAATAAACATAAATATGAGATGTGGTAGCCATATGGCTTGCACAAGTGACGCCATATTAGAAATGATTATAATAATAATAATAATAATAATCACCGAGTCTCATTAAATGTCCTATATTACGTTAATGTACACATTTTCATTAATCCATCCATGATATTTTTTTAAAATTATATAATAAACACGATACATAACATAAAAAGATGATAAATACACCCCACAATAGAATAAATAAACATAAATATGAGATGTGGTAGCCGGATAACTTGTACAAGTGACGGCAAGAATAACATTTCCTCTAGTCTAACATCAGAGAAAATGTGTTACTGGGGGTAACTGTAGAAAATTATTCCTTTCGTATGTATGTAAGTTTATTCAGTATACACAAATACAGTTACATAGATTATCATACATAACAGCATATGTGTAGAGAACCTAGGATAACCCAAAGAAGTCAGAGTGACTTATTTCCATTGTCTTCACTCAGAGTGTCATTTCTTCTAAAAAATGGTGTTACATGAGAATGGGAGTGCTCTTCTTTATTTATTCTACCGTATCAATGTAGAGACAACTTGTACACAATGTAACTTGTACAACAAACCAGACGTGTACACTTCGTTTGTTTGCAAAACTTACGTTCGCCTGGTTTGTTTACGTAACTCTGCACCTGTCCTCCTTCATGTACTCATTCTCTCTCTCTCTCATTTATTCGTTTTATCTCGTTTACTCACCCCTAACCCTACATTAAGACTACAAATATTTTAAGGTAAGTAATGAGTGAACTGTATATGCATTTTAAATCTCTGGGATGCTTAAATTTAATAGAATATTATGTGTAGGTGGGGAGGCCTGGTATGGTAGCCCGGCTGACTACCATACATATCACACTTGATTTCTTACAATAAATACTACTCATCTCACCCTAGATTAAGACTATAAATATTTTAAGGTAAGTAATGAGTGCACTATGTGTGTATTGTACTTTTTTATTGTTTTTTGATGCCTAGTTCTATTGCTAACTTAATATATGTTAGTGTAAACTTGTTATTTAGTATTTGTATGCTTTACGGCAGTAGCCTGGGACCTAACCTGCCATATAAGTAGGGCCCTACTGTACTGTAGTGTGTCCTAAGTGTAAGTAGAAGTAGCAAGACGTACCTGAAGTCTGGCATGTGTATGAGACAGAAAATAAAGACACCAGCAATCCTACCATCGTGTAAAACAATTACAGGCTTCCGTTTTACACTCACTTGGCAGGACGGTAGTACCTCCCTGGGCGGTTGCTGTCTATCAACCTACTACCTAGACTGGTTACTACTTATTTGTAGAAAAAATATAGTTTTGTGTTTTCAGCATCTATTTTATTGTAGTTTGCAATTGACTTATGGTTTTCTGTTGATTATAAAAAAAATTTCCTTATCTGTTTTCTTGTATTCTTTTATGGGATGTGTAGATCATATGTTTACAGTGAAGCATACAAGTGAGCAATATTCAGATAAAGGTAGGGAAGTTTTCATTACATTTATGGATTTAGAAAAGGCATATGATAGGGTGGATAGGGGAGCAATGTGACAATGTTGTAAGTGTATGGAATACATAGTAGGTTACTGAATTCTGTAGAGTTTTTATGAGGATAGTGAAGCTCCTGTTAGGGTGTTTAGGAGAGAGGGAAATTATTTTCCAGTAAAAGTAGGCCTTAGACAGGGATGTGTAATGTTATCATGGTTGTTTATCATATTTATAGATGGGGTTGTAAAAGAAGTAAATGCTAGGGTGTTGGGGAGAGGGGTGGGATTAAATTATGGGGAATCAAATACAAAATGGGAGTTGACATGGTTACTTTCTATTGATGGTACTGTGCTTTTGAAAGATTCTAAGGAGAAGTTGCAAAGGTTAGTGAATAAATTTGGGAGAGTGTGTAAAGGAAGAAAGTTGAAATTGAGTATGGTGATGGAGTACCAGACGAGTTAAGTAAAGAAAAACTGGATATCACACTGGAGGGAGAGTGTATGGAAGAAGTGACTGTCTTCAGATATTTGGGAGTAGATTTGTTAGCAGATGGGTTTATGAACGACGAGGTTAACCATTGAATTGATGAAGGAAAGCAGGTGACTGGTGCATTGAGGTATCTGTAGAGACAAAAAAATGTTTTTCATGCGGGCAAAAAGGGAATGTATGAGAGTATAGTGGTACCAACACTCTTATATGGGTGTGAAGCATGGGTTGTGAATGCTGCAGCAAGGAGGAGGGTGGAGGCAGTGAAGATGTTGTTTCTAAGGGCAATGTGTGGTGTAAATATGCAGAGAATTTTTTTTTTTTTTTAACAAGTCGGCCGTCTCCCACTGAGGCAGGGTGACCCAAAAAGAAAGAAAATCCCCAAAAACAAAATACTTTCATCATCATTCAACACTTTCACCTCACTCACACATAATCACTGTTTTTGCAGAGGTGCCCAGAATACAACAGTTTAGAAGTATATACGTATAAAAATACACAATATGCCCCTCCAAACTGCCAATATCCCAAACCCCCCCTTTAGAGTGCAGGCATTGTACTTCCATTTCTAGGACTTAAGTCCGGTTATATAAAATAACCAGTTTCCCTGAATTTTTTTTTTTTTTTAACACATCGGCCGTCTCCCACCGAGGCAGGGTGACACAAAAAATAAAGAAAATCCCCAAAAAGAAAATACTTTCATCATCATTCAACACTTTCACCACACTCACACATTATCACTGTTTTTGCAGAAGTGCTCAGGATACAACAGTTTAGAAGCATATACATAAAAAGATACATAACATATCCCTCCAAACTGCCAATATCCCAAACCCCTCTTTTAAAGTGCAGGCATTGTACTTCCCATTTCCAGGACTCAAGTCCGACTATTTGAAAATAACCGGTTTCCCTGAATCCCTTCACTAAATATTACCCTGCTCACACTCCAACAGATCGTCAGGTCCCAAGTACCATTTGTCTCCATTCACTCCTATCTAACACACTCACGCACGCTTGCTGGAAGTCCAAGCCCCTCGCCCACAAAACCTCCTTTACCCCCTCTCTCCAACCCTTTCGAGGTCGACCCCTACCCCGCCTTCCTTCCCCTATAGATTTATATGCTAACCATGTCATTCTACTTTGATCCATTCTCTCTAAATGACCAAACCACCTCAACAACCCCTCTTCTGCCCTCTGACTAATACTTTTATTAACTCCACTCCTTTTCCTAATTTCCACACTCCGAATTTTCTGCATAATATTTACACCGCACATTGCCCTTAAACAGGACATCTCCACAGCCTCCAACCATCTCCTCACTGCTGCATTTACCACCCAAGCTTCACACCCATATAAGAGTGTTGGTACTACTATACTTTCATACATTCCCTTCTTTGCCTCCATAGATAATGTTTTTTTAACTCCACATATACCTCAACACACCACTCACCTTTTTTCCCCTCATCAATTCTATGATTAACCTCATCCTTCATAAATCCATCCGCCGACATGTCAACTCCCAAGTATCTGAAAACATTCACTTCTTCCATACTCCTCCTCCCCAATTTGATATCCAATTTTTCTTTATCTAAATCATTTGATACCCTCATCACCTTACTCTTTTCTATGTTCACTTTCAACTTTCTACCTTTACACACATTCCCAAACTCATCCACTAACCTTTGCAATTTTTCTTTAGAATCTCCCATAAGCACAGTGTATCATCTGCAAAAAGTAACTGTGTCAATTCCCATTTTGGATTTGATTCCCCAAAATTTAATCCCACCCCTCTCCCAAACACCCTAGCATTTACTTCCTTTACAACCCCATCTATAAATATATTAAACAACCATGGTGACATTACACATCCCTGTCTAAGACCTACTTTTACCGAGAAGTAGTCTCCCTCTCTTCTACACACCCCAACCTGAGCCTCACTATCCTCATAAAAACTCTTTACAGCATTTAGTAACTTACCACCTACTCCATATACTTGCAACATCTGCCACATTGCTCCCCTATCCACTCTATCATATGCCTTTTCTAAATCCATAAATGCAATAAAAACTTCCCTACCTTTATCTAAATACTACTTGCATAAGGGGGATTACCAATAGACCCCTGTGTGTCTTCAAGCAGGCACTGGACAGGCACCTAAAGTTGGTACCTGACCAGCCGGGCTGTGGCTCATACGTTGGATTGCGTGCAGCCAGCAGTTACATCCTGGTTGATCAGGCCCTGATCCACCATGAGGCCTGGTCACAGACCGGGCAGCGGGGGGCGTTGACCTCCGGAACTCTCTCCAAGTAAACTCCAGGTAAACATATATGCTTCAATGTAAACACTTGATCTACACATCCCCTACCCACTCTAAAACCTCCTTGCTCATCCGCAATTTTACATTCTGTCTCACCTCTAATTCTTTCAATAATAACCCTACCGTACACTTTTCGTGGTATACTCAGTAAACTTATTCCTCTATAATTTTTACAATCTTTTTTGTCCCCCTTCCCTTTATATAAAGGGACTATACACACTCTCCGCCAATCTCGAGGTACCTTCCCCTCTTTCATACATTTATTAAACAAAAATACCAACCACTCCAACAGTATGTTCCCCCCTGCTTTTAACATTTCTGTCATGATCCCGTCAGTTCCAGCTGCTTTACCCCCTTTCATTCTACGTAATGCCTCACGCATCTTACCCACACTCATCCTGCTCTTCTTCACTCCTAAAAGATGGTATACCTCTCTGGCCAGTGCATGAAATTACCGCCTCCCTTTCTTCGTCGACATTTAAAAGTTCCTGAAAATACTCTCACCGTCTACCCAATACCTCGATCTCCCCATCTACTAACTCCCCTACTCTGTTTTTAACTGACAAATCCATTTGTTCTCTAGGCTTTCTTGTTTAACTCACTCTAAAAAATTTTCTTATTTTCATTAAAATTTCTTGACAGTGCCTCTCCTTTTGTACTCTCTCACCACTCTCTTCACCTTTTACTCTCCATATACTCTACTCTTCTTATAACACTTCTGCTTTGTAAATACCTCTCATAAGCTACCTCTTTCTCTTTTATCACACCTTTACTTCATCATTCCACCAATCACTCCTCTTTCCTCCTGCACCCACCCTTCTATAACCACAAACTTCTGCCTCACATTCTAATACTGCATTTTTATAACTATTCCAACCTTCTTCAACCCCCCCCACCTCCTCACTACACATACCTGCACCAGCCCACCTTTCTGCCAGTAGTTGCTTATATCTCACCCGAACATCCTCCTCCCTTAGTTTATGCACTTTCACCTCCCTCTTACTTGTTGTTGCCATTTTTCTCTTATCCCATCTACCTCTTACTCTAACTGCAGCTACAACTAGATAATGATCCGATATATCAGTTGCCCCTCTATAAACGTATACATCCTGGAGCCTACCCATCAACCTTTTTTCCACCAATACATAATCTAACAAACTACTTTCATTACGTGCTATATCATACCGTGTATATTTATTTATCCTCTTTTTCATAAAATATGTATTGCTTATTACCAAACCTCTTTCTACACATAGCTCAATTAAAGGTTTTCCGTTTTCATTTATCCCTGGCACCCCAAGTTTACCTACTACTCCCTCCACAATATTTTTATCCACGTTAGCATTAAAATCCCCAACCACAAGTACTCTCACACTTAGTTCAAAACTCCCCATGCATTCACTCAACATTTCCCAAAATCTCTCTCTCTTCTCTCTTCTCTCTTCCCCAGGTGCATTTACACTTACTATAACCCACTTCTCACATCCAACCTTTATTTTACTCTACATAATCCTTGAATTAATACATTTATAGTCCCTCTTTTCCTGCCATAGCTTATCCTTCAACATTATTGCTACTCCTTCTTTAGCTCTAACTCTATTAGAAATCCCTGACCTAATCCCATTTATTCTTCTCCACTGAAACTCACCCACCCCCTTCAGCTTTGTTTCACTTACAGCCAGGACATCCAGCTTCTCATTCATAACATCCACAATCATTTTTTATCATTCGCACAACATCCACGCACATTCAGACTTCCCACTTTGACAGTTTTCTTCTTCTTATTCTTTTTAGTAATTGTTACAGGAAAAGGGGTTACTAACCCATTGTTCCCGGCATTTTAGTTGACTTTTACAACACACATGGCTTACGGAGGAAAGATTCTTATTCCGCTTCCCCATGGATATTAAAGGAAAAGTAATAAGAACAAGAACTAAGATAAAATCAACGAAAACTCAGATGAGTGTGAATAAATAAACGTGTACATGTATGTTTAGTGTGACCTAAGTGTAAGTAGAAGTAGCAAGACGTACCTGTAATCTTGAATATTTATGAGACGGACAAAAGACACCAGCAATCCTTCCATCATGTAAAACAATTACAGGCTTTCATTTTACACTCACTTGGCAGGATGGTTGCTGTCTACCAACCTACTACCAGAATTTGTAGAATTTGTAGTGTGGAAATTAGGAGGAGGTGTGGAGTTACTAAAAGTATTATTCAAGAGGGCTGAAGAGGGGTTGTTGAGGTGGTTTGGTCATTTAGAGAGGATGGAGCACAATAGGATGACTTGGTGTATAAATCTGTAGTTGAAGGGAGGAGGGGTAGGGGTCATCCTAGGAAATAATGGAGGGAGAGGGTAAAAGAGGTTTTGTGTGCAAGGGGCTTTGACATGCAGCAGTCATATGTGAGCATGTTAGATAGGAGTGAATAGAGACAAATGATTTTTGGGACCTGATGAGCTGTTGGAATGTGAACAGGGTAATATTTTGTGAAGGGATTCAGGGAATCTGGTTAGCTGGACTTGAGACCTGGACGTTCACTTGAAAGGAAGGGTTTAGGATATTGGCTGTTTGGAGTGACATCTACAAAGTCATATCTGGGCACCTCTGCAAAGACAGTTATTATGTGTGACTGTTGGTGAAAGTTTTCTTTTTTGGATCACCTTGCCTCAGTGTGACACGGCCGACATGTTAAAAAAAAAATTACTTTTAGATCCACCTCGCCATTTTGTCACAATGTCTAATCTTCATTTTTTAACACATCTGCTGTCTCCCACTGAGACAGGGTAACTGTGGCTTGTTAATTCTGTCACCCCCCTTTCCTTTACATGACACTTGTTTGCATAAAAATCTCTCAGTCATCTTTTGCTCCATTTACTCATTTTATTCAAAGTTGTCTTGTAAGCACTCACACAATTGTGGCTCTACTGTAATTTTCCATACAACTTACTAAAAAAAATTTAATAACAGAAATGCTCGAAAAATAACCAAGGAAATGAGTCCATGTTTAAAGTAATTTTTTTTTTTAGGCGAAGCAGTCGTGATGCAAGTAGAGATCGTGAACGCGATCGTGATCGTGACACTCGAAGTCGTGGTCACTATGATGACGTGTTTGATGATTATTACCGAGCTTATTACCAGCGATACGACAATTCCTATCCACGCCATGACGGTCCAGATGTAGATGGACGGGCTCATCCAACCGGAGAGTATCCTAACTACTCAGAACCAGTTGATCCACTTGATCCTAACAGACCTAATGATGTGGAAATTGTTGTCCCAAATAAAATGCAGAGGTAAGGAAAGTCTACTTTCACTAAAGAGGAAGTATGCATTATAGGCTAAACGCTGAATAAAATGGTAAAATTGAAAATAAAGAGGAAATGAGTAATTTAATTTGAAGAAATTTGTATTCAGCTTCATTTTATATTGAATGTGATTGTGAATCCCAGCATTCAGATGCTTTTTTTTTTTTTTTTTTTTTTTTTTTTTTTTTTTTTTTTTTTTTTTTGAGAATTTTCTATGATTTTTATAACTTTTAAAATTCATCCTGTTACCCTCATAAATCATTATTCTGACTGAATCCACTAATATGCTCCTAAATTCAATAGCTCATTCACTGTGTTTATACACACACTTTTAGAAGCTTTATTTTTTAACTTCCATTCCCTATTTTTATTTTGATATAATAAGCTTTATTTTTTAACTTCCATTCCTTATTTTTATTTTGATATAATTTCTTAAGCCATATGAATGTAATTTTGTCTTGCTACAGTATACACACTGTGTGATCAGCTCCTTCACTGTTGTCACTGAGTTGAACTGAAATTTTGCATATTTAATATATAAAGTATTTACAGTATAAATTTTGAAGATGTGTATGTGGTAGTATTAAGGATTTTTGTGCAAGAATTGTTGTATTTTCTAATCTTTAGCACTGAGTACTGTTAATATTTTGTTTAAACAAGGCTTTTTCATGTATCAGTGAATTTGACAGTTGTTACATGCATATTATTAATGTCCATGTGGCATTATGGTGGTCATAGATGTGCTTGTGGCATCTTTGTGGTGGTATTATTTTTCCAAGACCTAACGTTTTATTTGAAGTTCACATTTTCATCAGGAGTGCTGTCATAGTACTTATTGCTGTGATTAACTCATTTGTTTACCCATGTATTAAGGTTACAATTTAATTATATGCATTTTGAAGATATCCTTGAAGGAATATGGTGGGGCAGTGGTTAAGTGTAAAAGGAAAATTGAAGTTAACTGCTTTAACCTTATAGAAACAGCAGTACATTAATAGATAAACAGAATAACAAATCAAACATTTTCTAGGGGTTATTCATATTATTTTGACCTGAAAAACCTCTTTAATTCCAATCTTCTGTGTATGTACAGTGGAACCCTTTGAAACCTGAATCTCAAAAATCCAAAATACAGCACTATTTTTTAACTGTGAAGTTCTCTTGCCCCAGTTTTATTCTAGGTATTTCTCAAACTAAAGAACTTGCTTCACTGCAAACACACTATAAATTTATTTATGAAGAGTGAAGAAACAACATTAAATTTCAAACTTCGCTCAAATGACAATAATCAGGGAATTGAGCTAGATCCATGGCCCAGGTAATTCTCCATAATTGTTATTTACCTACTTGTTATGACACTTGCACTACACTGTAGCAAAAGCATTCTGGCATTATCACCTAACATGTGAGTAATTTCTCTCTCTCTGACATTTAAAATAGGTAAAATTGGTTAATTGTTTTTATAGTCATGAAGGTGACAGACATTGCAACAACTTAATGGAATTGTTGAACTGTTATTGCATTCAGTCTTCCCTCTGCCCAGTGTGCCATACACCAACAAGTCTTCAATAAAGGTGAGTGTGATGTTAAATGTTCATTTATACATTTTATTAGTGCTTTATATTTATCTGTCATTCTTTTCTGCATGTAAATCTATATTTAAACTAGGGAAGTGGCTAGGGAAGTGACCCCTGATAAGGACTAGGTACCTAGATCCTTATGGAGGGGGATTCCCCTTCCAAACAATAACCTCTCTTCCCTCTCCCTTCCTCCCTGTCTTCCATCCATCAACAACAGCCTTCAATAAAGGTAAGTGTTATGTGTAATATTCTTTTGTGCATGTAACTCTATCTTTAAGGTAAAATTTTTTTTTTATTTTGGTACTTTTGGGTGTCTGGAACGGGTTAATCCATTTGCATTATTTCTTATGGGGAAAATGGTTTCGGTTTTGGCCGATTTCAGTTTTGCTGATGGCTCTGAAATGGATTAAACATGAAAACCGAGGGTTCACTGTACTTCTATAAAGTCACTGGACTCCAGATTACTGGTCAAAGAAGTCCGGTCAGTTTGACTAAAGTTAAAATCCCCTACTCTCACTACATTATTGTGTCTAGAAGCCCTAACAATTTTGTCCCAAAGAAGTCTCCCTCTGTCATGATCCAAGCCTGGAGGTTGGTATATTACACCTAGAATTAGTTTTTCTTGACCTTCTACAAACTCTACCCAAACAGATTCTGTTACTAATCCATCTATTTTTATACCTGTTTTTATGCAACAATTTATATTTTCTTGTATAATGCAACTCTTCCCCCTTCCCATTATATCTATCCACATGGAACAACTTAAACCCTTGAATATTACACTCAGCAATCATATCCTGACTCTTTAAATCATACCGTGTTTCAGTTATTGCAATGACATCAAAGTTCCCAGCACACGCTACCAAATGTAATTCATTAATCTTATTTCTTGCACTTCGACTGTTAGCATAAAATATGGTCATATGTTTTTTCTTCTGCACCTTTTTACTATTCACATTTGCTTTTACACAATTTCTGTAATTGTCATTACCCAGTGTTACTCCATGACTGTTATTATTAAGATTCATAATATCAAAGCCTAAGTCAATATATTCATACTCATTATTTTCCATTTCTAAACCCATACCTCTAACTAATCCTAGTTTAAAGTCATAACAACATCCTCAACTGAGCTAGCAAGAAAACCCACACCTGCCCTGGATAAGTGAACCCTATCCCTGGCATACATGTCATTTCTACCATAGAAGTGGTCCCAGTTATCAATGAATGCATTATCCTTACAGTGTTTGTCCAGCCAACAATTAATACCAATTGCTCTGGACAACCATTCATTTCCAACACCCCTTCTTGGCAAAATGCCACATATGACAGGGTGCTTCCCCCTTCTTCCTAATTATGTCCGTTGCTGTTTTGTACCTTCTAACTAAATCCTCACTTCTGCGCTTGCCTACATCATTGCCTCCAGCACTGAGGCAGATAATAGGATTGATCCCATTACCGTTCATGATATTGTCAAGCCAGCTAACAATATCTTCCATCCCAGCCCCAGGAAAGCAAACCCTCTGTCTCCTACTCCTATCCTGCAAGCAGAAGGTCCTATCCATATACCTAACCTGGCTATCGACTCATGTTCATCGGGTAGCACAGAGAATGTGTTTGATGTGGCCACAGCGGTTTCCACAGCAGTCTCTTCTTCATCATTTCTACCTCTCCATTCGTCTGCTTGATCTTCAACTTCATTCCATGCTGTCCGTCCACTGCCCAGGTTCCTTTCTTGACCTGAGGGCTCACAACAGGAGGACTACTACGAATCCTCTTGTTTTCCTCTGTCAGATGCCGTATCTCTAGCTTCACTACCCTCAATTCCTCCTCAAGCTGCTGGTAAAGTTATTCAGTGGAGGGCATCTTGGTTCACACCACAGAGAGTACACTAGACACGTCCTCACTGAGCTAAGTACAGGTCACCACTGAGCTAAGTACAAGTCACCACTGCTAAGTACAGGTCACCACTTTGATAATTCTATTTACTCAGGTGCAGGTCCCACTCAAATCCAACCCCTCTCACTCATGTATTTATCCAACCTAAATTTGAAACTATCCAAGGTTTTAGCTTTGATAACCCTCTAAGCAGACAGTTCCACTCATCAACTACCCTATTACCAAACCAATACATACTTTCCTGTATCCTTTCGAAAACTAAACTTGTCAAATTTGAATCCATTATTGTGGTTTCTCTCTTGGAGGGATATCCTCAAAACCTTATTTATATCCCCTTTATATCTTCCACTTATACACTTTGGATCATGTCTTCTCTCATTCTTTGTCTTACAAGCAAATGTAGTTTAAGAGTGTTCAGTCTTTCTTCGTACGGAAGATTTCTAATGCTATGTATTAGTCATTCTACGCTGAATGTTTTCTAATGAATTTATATCCCTTCTGTAATATGGAGACCAGAACTGAGCTGCGTAATCTAGGTGAGGCCATATTAATGATGTATAAAGCTGTAAAATAACTGCTGGACTTCTGCTGATTACACTTCTAGATATAAATCCCAGTAATCTGTTTGCTTCATTATGTATGCTTAGGCATTGCTGTCTTGGTTTAAGGTTGCTGCTTACCATAACCCCCAAGTCTTTTTCGCAGTCTGTATGACTAAGTTCTACGTTATTTAACTTGTAAGTACTAGGGTTATGGACACTCCCGAGTTTCAATCTTGCATTTATCTACATTGAACTGCATCTGCCACTTTTCTGACCAGGAATTTAGTTTGTCTAAATCTTCCTGAAGTTCCGTGACATCTTCGTTTGAATCAATTTTCCTACCTATCTTTGTTCTTCTTTCTTTCAACACACTGGCCGTATCCCACCGAGGCGGGGTGGCCCAAAAGGAAAAACAAAAGTTTCTCCTTTTACATTTAATAACATATACAGGAGAAGGGGTTACTAGCCCCTTGCTCCCGGCATTTTAGTCACCTCTTACAACACACATGGCTTACGGAAGAAGAATTCTGTTCCACTTCCCCATGGAGATAAGAGGAAATAAACAAGAACAAGAACTAGAAAGAAAATAGAAGAAAACCCAGAGGGGTATGTATGTATATATATGCTTGTACATGTATGTGTAGTGTGACCTAAGTGTAAGTAGAAGTAGCAAGATGTACCTGAAACCTTGCATGTTCATGAGACAGAAAAATGGACACCAGCAATCCTACCATCATGTAAAACAATTACAGGCTTTCGTTTTACATTCACTTGGCAGGACGGTAGTACCTCCCTGGGTGGTTGCTGTCTACCAGCCTACTACCTAGAACCTATCTTTGTGTCATCAGCAAATTTGCTCAAATCACTAGTAATTCCTTCATCAAGGTCATTGTTATATATTATAAACAACAATGGGCCTAAGACTGATCCCTGTGGAATGCCACTTGTTACAGATCCCCACTCGGAT